GATGCTCCGGAGAACGAGATCGGTGGTCGTAAGGAAGAATAGGGGACGGGACTCGGGTCGAAGCATCGGTATACGTTTCGAGACGTTCACGACGTTCCAGGACGGTCGCTCAGGGACGCTTCGACGCAACGAGCGAGCCTTATCTTCGCTATACGCTCGTAGGGGAGGTACACGGGGTGCGGCGTATCAAGCTTTCACGGTTACTTCCGTTACTCTTCGACCGCCTAGACCTACACAACATACCTGTCCTCGTTCGTTACAAATACATCTTGCTTCTCTGTTTGTAGCTACGTAGTTGAAACACCGTATCGCCCGCCGTAAGATCCAGAGTTTCCTTAGCTCGACAAAAAACAGGCACACCCTTCTTCTCTTATCCGGAAACCGCCTCCATTTCGTATTTTTGAAATTTACGAATCCGTCGGTCGTAAGTTGGTTCGCGAAGAGGCTGCAAAGAATGTTATTTTTCCTCGATTCTTATGTGGCTGCGTATTTTTGGAAAGCGATCGCCGCGGTCGACGCAGAAATTACGAAAACCGTGACCGAACCGACCATCCGTACGAAACAAGCGCGAACGCTCGGCGCGAGAAGGATAGGCGACACGGAGCGACAAAAAGGGGTGTCTTGACGATTTATAATCGGTGACGAATGGGCGCGATCGCAGGGAGCCCTCGTCTCTCCGGCGTTTTATAAATGTCGCGGAGCAATAAAGACGCTCGATGGATTAGCCGTGAGCCTGGCATTCCAAAGGCAACGGATTCTATTCTGGTGATTTGAAACCAGGCACGCGCGTCCAATGAATCAATCGAAGCCTCGCTTTTTTCTCTCCTGTCTCCTGTCTCGTGCCTCGGCCTCTTCTATCTCTTCCGATACCTTTATAGTTGGCGAACGACGGACGTTTCCACGTCGGACACGTTCGATTCTCGAGATTCGTCGAATCTACGAATACGCTTCGTCGCGCGCCTTCCTTCAGCTTCGCTCTTTTACGGTGCGACAGAGGAGCAGCAGGCTGGTCGCCCCTTTTCCACCGGAGTCGAGTCCCTCCCCGGTGAACCTCCGTCGCTCTCTTTCTTCGGCGACGCCGTGACACGAACACGCGGTATCCCCCCGCTGTTCCAAGAATTCACGTACGCGTCATAAATAGTGGCCTGCTCGCACTCTGCCGCCTCCACTTCCCCTTTTCACCCCTCCGCTTCGATTTCTCGCACGTTTCGACGTTTTCCAATATTCCAAACTGCACCGATTCCATCTGGGGTCCCTCCGAAGCTTCTTCAACGTCGCCCTCTCTTCCTGTCTCTTCTTTGCCATTCGCCCACCCCCTGGCGTTCCTCCGCAACCTCGCGAGTATCGACCGCGAGTATCGTAACCGCCACTTTTCGAATTCCACGTTCTTTTCGTCAAAAGGACGAATCGATGACACGGCAGTATGTCAAAGGTTTGTTGCATCAGGAATCCGTGTGTGAGTGTGCGCGTGTGTAATACGTATCTATTACGACTTTCGTATTATACGCGTTGGTCAGTGGATAGTTCTCCAAACGATCGTATATCGAGAAGAACGATGGTCGGGATTGATGCAGAAAAGCGATCTTTTCCTTCCGCGTTATTACAGTGGTCACGAAGTGTTATCGAAGAAGGAGCGACGAAGTAACAGTTGTGTGTAGGGACTTGGGAATATTTATTAGATGCTCTTGCACGTTTATGCGGTACTCGCGAATGTATTTGAACACGTCTCGTAGGAAGCCTCTAAGAAGATGTTAGAAATCATAGCGGAATCTTTCGTGCGTTCGAATTTAATCGCGTGCTTCAACTTTTAAAAATATCGTATTAACTTAAGGAAATATATCGAGCTTTTTACAATAGCAAACAGCAATTGATTATGCACCTCAGAGCAGTGAAAAGAATTCATGCAATCGTACGTACGTCCTATTCGTTCTTGCCTACAAGTTGTAACCAACTTTTGCCGATAAACTTTTAGACAAAACACACGGATCGATCGTCTTCCATTTCAAAGCCTGTAAAAGTCTTGCAGTAATATGGTAGTTGTCGATGTTTCCCAAAATTGTTGAAAATTCTCCTTGATCTCCTCGCATAATTTTATTTACTGTTATTATCGTCATTATTATTTACTAACGAACGTTAACCCTGTAACGCAACAAGGGAAACTAAATGTACAAGTTACAAAGTTACAAAGCTATAAAGTTGCGGAGGTTATGTTGCGAGTGAAACAAAACAAAACAGGAATATGTCGTTCAATATAGAAACGTGTCACATTATAAATAATTAAAATAATTGCAAACACCAAACGTGGGAAGTTGCGAAAGGATGCGGAAAAGAGATCGACTCGATCCGATAATGCGTTAGCACGTGTACATAGCCTGATAATCGTGTCCCCGCTTCTGTATTTATTTATCTATTTATTTGTTTAAACGGGAAATAACGATAAACCTCTAAACTTTGACATATAAGACAACAAGACAGGGAAAGGCTGAAGCAACGAATTTCTGAAACGCGCGTGTATCTCTCTGATGACGAAAGTGACTGCGCATCTAAAAATCGAGTCGGATGAGTAACGCTGGTTCTTTCAAAGACGCACCGATCCGTCTTGTCGAATGGAATTGGCGCCAAACGTTTTACGAGCATGCGCGCCACGTTTTAGCGTCCTCGGCGTGGGTTTGTTGTGCGTCGACCTTTACCTAACGGCTCTGTCGGAGTCGCAGCGAGCTCCCTTAGCTCCTCTCCGCTCCCTTGGCCACCCTTCTGTAACTACCGCCGCGCAGCCACCCCCGTCGCCAACCCTGACCTGATTTATGGGATTCTCCAAGTGTCTACCCTGCCGACGCGCGTTTTCGAGCCTCCCACCCGACTCTCTCCCTTCCGCTTTCCCTCCTGTCTGTACGCGCAGACAGCTGGCTAGCATTTTCACGAACGCGCGTTTCCTCTTCTCCACGCGTTCCGATCCTTCTCCACCTTATCGCGCTTTTTACGAATCGACTTCGATCTTTGCTCGATTCCTCCTAGTTTTACTCGTTTGTTCCCTTATTCTTCAACTGCTCGCGCGTTTTCTTCATTTCTCTTTAGCTTTTTCTTCCAGAATTTGTCTTCGTC